AAAGAGGAAGTTTGAAATCCCCCGTACGGTTAAAAAAAAAAAAAAAAAAAGAGAGAAATTCTTTTTACTAAAATAGTGTGTACAAGCCAGTGACACTTCTGCATACCTGTGTCATGCTTCTTAGGAATTTTCAATCCCCCCCCCCCCCCTTTTTTTTTTTAAAGATGACCGGTAAGGGGATCTTAACCCTTGACTTGGTGTTGTCAGCACCACGCTCAGCCAGCGAGCTAACCGGCCATCCCTATATGGGATCCGAACCCGGGGCCTTGGTGTTATCAGCACCGAGTGAGCCACGGGCCGGCCCGGAATTTTCAATTCTTATAGGAGGCTCCAGTATCCTCTTAAAGAGGTTTTACAGACTAAGGAAAATAAAATTGAAGAGTGGGAAAGAAAGCTGAGGAAAGAGGGTCAACTTTTTTGTTTAGAATCAGCAGAAGCAAATCCATTTTAGTTGTTGGATCTTCACTGAAGTGAGAAACACACATATATATTTCTTTTGTTTAGTGATTTGCACTGCTTCCTCAGTTTTTATTAACTCCAATTTTGAACTTAGTAGCCCAAATAATTTTTGTATCTAAAGGAAGAACCCTAAATAAAAAGTAAAGGACTCCTTCTATTAGAGAAATAGCCAACTTTGTGACTATAGTGGAGGAGCTGTTGTGGGGAATGGGGAGGGTGGCGCTCATTACTTTGCTTATCATTATGAGATTATAATTTTTAACTCTAGCTTTTATACGAAAACCGTGAGACTTAATTAGCAGCATATTAGAATTTTAGAGCTACTTAAGACCTTAAAAATCATCTTTTATGCTTCCCAAAGTGTGGTTTGTGGTAAATGAGTGAGCACATGTTATCGTTTGTGTATTTTAATGTAAACTAGGGAACTATATTATATTGAACATGTAATTTCATAAATATTGCTGAGGACAAGCCTAAATTGTTTAAATTGTTAAAATGTGAGTTCACTTAAGGTAAATTAACAGCGTGAATGTGGCTAAAATTATGAATGCAGCCTGTGAATGTCTGAAACTTGGAAATCATATCAGACTAACTCTTTCTGAGGCTCTGAGAAGTGAAGTAGCTTGCCTAAAGTCATGGGACTAATTTGTAATATTGAACCAAGATCAAATCCCAGGTCCCCTGATTTCCTGTCCAGTGCTCTTATCGTTTCACACTGGGGTTGGCAAAGTTTGATTCAGGGTATGAAAATTAAAATGGCTTTTTCTCCATATTTTTTTCTGAGAACAAAGACTGCAATATATGGTAGAAAAAGCTTTGAGTTCAGAGACCTTAGTTGCACTTCTGGTACTATCACTGAATGGCAGTACGATTGTGAATAGGTAGGTTTTCTATTGCACATGGCCTCAAATAAATACATACACATCGAGAGAGGATGGAATAATACTATAATCCACTGTGCTAAAGGGTGAGGTTTGGGCATCCTTTCTGAAATTGTGTTGGATATCCATGGCCTTTTCTGTATTGTAACCTTCCTATTGCATTTGACCTTTTACCCTCAAGATTAATCTAATTTAGTAGTTTCTGTGTTCAGCAAAAGGAGAATCTGGGAGGGTAAGGTGCACTCTATATATTATCAATTCAAATTCTGGTTTATTTCTGTGTTAGTTAATTGGTATTGAAAAATAAGCTGTAGCTTCTTTAAAGCTTTAATTTATAAGTAAATTATTATTCCATGTTTCTCCCTTGTGTTTATTTCTAATAGTCTGATCGAGGAAGATTTACTGGTTTTGATCATTTTAGATTTGTTAACTGAGATTGAGTTAAGTAGCCAGTCCCACTGCCTGTGTTCAAGTGTCTAAGTGTTTGTCACCCACGCTGACCAATCCCGTGGAAATGAATGGTGGAGATGCTGAGAACCTCGAAACTTGGAAGAGCCACATCAAAAGTCTGGAAATTCTTTGGGTATATAGAATGCAGCCAATAGACAACACATACATACTAGTTTACTAGTTAAGAATATATTCTTGGCTTATAAATGATCTACTATTTTTTAACGTCCTATTAAAGATATCCATAGATTAAACTAAATTCCCTTAACATGTGACAGAATTCATCAGTGTATTCAGCAGATACATGTGTGCCAGGCCCTGTTCTGGGCCTTGGAGTTATACCAGGAACACACACCAGACTAAGTCCTTGCTCTCTCGGGCAGCTTATATTCTAGTTGGGAGAGGCAGACACCAAATAAATATCTAATATATGAGTTAGTAGAAAGTGCTAAGAAGAAAAATAAGCAGGCTAAGGAGACAAAGAGTGGCAAGGAGTTCTCTGATAATGTGACTCTTGAATAAAGTGAAGAACAAATAATGGTAGTGAATGCTAGCATTGTAAATTCTAGTCGCTAGATTATTTTTCTCTGAAAACATTTTTTTAAACCTCATAGGTATCAATAGTTGAAAAATGACTCCTAAGAAAAATGGAATGTATTTATATGGTGTTCTGTGTATGGAAATGATACAGTAGGACACACATTTAAATTTTCCAGTGACGCTCAGGGTTTGCACTGATCACCACTATCTGGCTTGTGTTCCATGGGTCCAGTGGCTTATATCTGTCAAATGGCTGGCTTGGTCCGGGAGAACGATCTCTGGCAGGACAGCTGAGAAAAGTGAGATTGAAACCCTGTCCTTGACACCGTGGTTTAAGCTCTTAAAAGAGCATTGGGTTTTGTTTTGTTTTTTAGCTATATTTAAAATTGAAAATATCTGCTAGAAACAAAAGAGAGGAAAGTATTCTCTAAGTTGCTTGCCATTCTTTCAGCTCAGGTGATATTTACTCAATCTCTTGTAAAAGATAATTTTCAAGAATTCAACTTGTAACCATTTGAATTATTGTTCTTTTCTGTTTATTTTAAAAGAAGCTGACTAATTTGTTTGCTCTTTCTGTCATTTTTTTTTAAAGGCTGTACAAAGTGTTTTCATAGATAAGATGCATAGACCCCACTAATTCAATCCTTTTCAAATTGTCAGGCTTTTCCTTATCTATTCTATGTTCTTTGTAGTTGAGGTGAACAGAACTAAGTTTAGTTTAAAAGGTAGTAAAGTATGTGTGATACCTTTACCGATAATACATTATGTAATACATAAAGAACCAAGTCCTCTTTTATCCTGACAGTTCTTTCTGACATCCTGAGTTATCTATCTTTGTTCCTAACATAAGCTCATATCTTTCATTAGCTATTTATTTTCTGATTTCATGGATTCTTTGGTTCTCCCGCCACCCAGTCTTCTTGGCATCAGAAATAGAAGATGGTTACTTTTCTTTCAGAAAACTCTTGGTCAGAGAGGCAGATGGCACAGTGGATAGGCTTCTGAAGTGAAAAATATTTTTATGGATTTATCCTCCTCTTAACATTTCTATTTCTCTGTTTTGACTTTCGTCATAGTTCAAAGAAGGATATATTTGTTCCCTACTGGCAGTGTCACATCACAAGGAATTTAAAGTCACTGGAATTCAGGTAGCAGTGAAAAACATCATATGATTTAACAGAAAGCTTTGGGTCAATATTTACTGAGGTATTATGTTAATGTATTTCCTGTTTGTCTGAAAAGAGCTAATGGCTGCTTTTAAACTTGTTTGTCTTTGTTCCTAGACATCAGTTTCATTTAGGGAGATTCTAACTTGACACTACTCTGGAGGTAAAACATGTGGCAAATCAGTATTTTTTATTGGTGAAAAGTTTTTATTTGTGTTTATGCATGAAGTAAGCTAGTATAAATACCAAAAAGAAATTAAAATGCCATTGAGTTTTTGTCAGTCACTCGTCCTCACTTTTAATGATTTCTTGTACAGTTTGCATATATATATACTTACGTTGGTCTATGATTTTGAAAGTAGAGACTCCTGTTATAATGAAATGTTGAGAAATGCAGAAAATATCATAACACAGTACTTCTGTTGTTTCAAGGAGTTACATTGGTTAATTAAGCCTGGATGTTGTTGTGTGGGGATTAACACTATTAAAAGGAATATGCTGAATGTTCTGATCAGTAATAAACTCACCTCTAAAAAGTAAGCAAAAGTGTACTTTTTAATGCTCTGAATTGGATGCTTTAAGTCTGACTGGGGTCAAGAACATTGAAATGCAATTGCATAGCAAGGTACAATTTATGCTAATGTTTGTCCAGAAAACATTCCAGATGACAGGTTGCTGGGGAAGTGACTTTCATTATGATAGAAATAAAAAACTTGGAGTCTTTCCTTTAGACAGTCTGTGTAATCAGAAGTAGAAGAATGAGTTACTAAACTGTAAAAAGCTGCAATAGCTTAGTTCAACTTAAATATTTAATGAGCACCCAGATGAGTGAGGTACTGCGTTAGCTGCAAGGAATACAATGGTGAGCAGGTGTAGAGATGCCAGTTAGAGAGACAGATACCCTGGGAAGGGGAATGGAAAGATTGCTTCACTTTAGCCTGTATTGCCAAGTCTGTTCCAGACCTGGAAGTCAGGCTGTACTTTCGTCCAGTTTTTTTCTGGTCTGAAAATATTCCCCCAGAGAATGCAACCTCCTCCTGAACTGCCGAGGAATATATTTCCTCTTTTAATGAGACCAGCAGTCAGGATCATCGTGCAGATTTTTAGGATATGAGCTATAAATTGGAAATTGAGGACTCCTACCTGTGTGACAAAGTAGTAATAGGCTTAGAGTATTTTGTGGTACCGTGTCATCAGCCAGATGAGTTATTTTGTGAAAATATTAATATTTTTATATTGGGCATTAATTCAACCTCCACCAGATTTAATTTATAGTAAACCTTTAGTTGAATAACGTAACTATATAGGGCATTGGACAAAGCAATTTCTTTTTTTTTTTTTTTTTGACCAGTAAGGGGATCACAACCCCTGGCAAGGTGTTGTCTGCACCACGCTCAGCCAGTGAGCGAACCGGACATCCCTATATAGGATCCGAACCTGCGGCCTCGGCACATCCAGTGCCTCACTCTCCTGAGTGAGCCCCAGGGCCGGCCCGGGACAAAACAATTTCTAATTGCGTAGATACAGCTATAGAGTTATATAAAATGCTTTCATGAAGTGCCTAGGTCCTTTACTTGCTCATGTAGCCCTTTCAGGATCTTTAAACTCTTCAAAAGCAGATGGTGGAACAGCTTGCTGAATAAATAAGGGCGTGGGGTTGAACATTGTCAGGTACCTGCCCCAGGAATGTTTCCAACTCTCTTCATTCACTTTTGCTGTCTCTGCCTGGGAACAACCTCCTTTCATTCTTATTTCCTAGCACTGGAGCTCTTATCATAAGTACTAAAGACACCGGTGCAGTAAACAGGATCTTCACTAAAAGATGCCCCTACACTTAGGGCCATACTTACATTGACAGAGGCAAACTTTTAACTCCTTGAGACAGTGTTATTATAAACAAAGACCTGAAATGTTTGGGTTGTTTGCAGCCTTGATCAAGAAGTGGAAAATGTGTGAAGAGGGCAAACCAAACTGGAATGAATTTGAGCAACAAAATAAACAACATGGTATGAACAACAAAAAAAAGAGAGGGCAAAGAGCAGGGCGTATGGTGATATGATTGCACAAACATTTCTTAATCCTTCTAAGGAATCTGAAAAAAAAGTTCAAGATTTCTTTGATTACTTGACCAAAAGAAGAATTACCATATTGATTATTGAGTGGTAGCAAAAGAAAAAGAAAAGAAAAAAAGGCTGCCTTTCTTGATCTCCTGATTCTCAGGTAAAACTTATTATTATTTTTTTTTTTTAAAAAGATGACCAGTAAGGGGATCTTAACCCTTGGCTTGGTGTTGTCAGCACCACGCTCAGCCAGTGAGCAAACCGGCCATCCCTATATGGGATCCGAACCCGTGGCCTTGGTGTTATCAGCACCACACTCTCCTGCAGCCCTCGGCGTTGCTCCTGCACCTCGCTCTCACCCAGTGAGCAAACCGGCCATCCCTATATGGGATCCGAACCCGTGGCCTTGGTGTTATCAGCACCACACTCTCCCGAGTGAGCCACAGGCCGGCCCTCAGGTAAAACTTATAAAGCACTTTTGGACTAGGGAAAAATGTGAAAGCTAGGGACTGATTGGGTAATATAACTGGTGTGAACCTCCTCAAAAAGAGTTTTCACCTTACTAAGATCATGTCCTCAAATTACCCTCCTCTTATTTACTTCAGCCATCTGAGTGTTGGAATAAGAACTCCTATCTACCTCAATAAGACCATTTATTTTCATTAAAAAGTACTATCAAAACTCTTTGCTTAATCCCCTAAATTGTGTGTATGTGTATTTATTAAGCATCAAAGTTATGTTACAAGATATAACATATGCATGTGCAAGGATTCTTCAAAAAGTTCATAGAAAGAAACATATTATCTTGTAACTCAATTTTTTCATGAATTTTTTCAAGTACCCTCATGTATCTCTGTAAGTATGAGGATGGTGGTATCTGTGGTATATTGCAGGGAATTACTGGACCAGTGTTGGCACATAACGTGAAGTTTAGTTCACTTGTTATCACCATGTGCTGTCTTCATTCCTGTTGCTCTCTGACATTTGTTAGAATTTCCAGCAGAGAGGCCACAGATGAGGAAGCTGGACCACCTCTTGTCTCTCCCAGGGAGTTGACTGCTGGCATGCATTTTACATACCCACCTGGAACTTCACTTCCTGGAGGCTTTGTAAACATGAAAATGGTCCTTCCTCCCAGAAAGATTAGAGGCCCCCAGAGTATTGTGTTGTAAATTTGAATTGAATAGTATCAGTAATATAGCGTTTATGAAAATAAACTTGGTACATATAGCCTGGACTTAATAAATCAAACAGATGGTTTTATGATGACTTTAGATGTTCTCAGCTTTCCTTTAAATTCCCATTTAGTGTTTTTGTTTTAATATTTTTTGTTTTTTACTGGTATCTTCATTGAAATTCTGTCTTATTTCAAGGCAGGAATATTAAGGGACAAACGGAAAACATGTTAATGATGAATAGAAAGGTTGACATATATAAGTAAGAGAGTCATTACATATTTTGAAGGTTAATTTAGGATTTTTTTTCTTTCTTTTTTAAAAAATCTTTTCCTCTCCCAATACTAATTGTGTTTGGAGCTATTTGCAAATTTGAAGTAGAATTTCAACAATGTAAAATTAATTATGGTAATTGTTTTTATATGTTAGAACCTTTTATGATCGTTAAGAAAGAAGCCATAGAAGTAGTTGATTTAGTCAAGGCATAGTTTAATAGAAAACATGTGGTTGACTCTTGGCTCCATAATTATACTTTGAAAAAAGTGAAATTTGAACTCGTCAAACTCTTTTTAGTAAGCTTTATTTGGATTATTGTTTACATTTTTCTTTTCAGAGCAAAGAGAAATGACTTTAAGGGCCATTTTCTTTCTGTGTAACTTAATTCTAGAGAATTAAGAGGCCACATGGTAAAGAATATGTTTTGCTTTTTAATATGGTTTTGACATCCCCTTTATGTAAATGCCACAGAGTGTGGGAGTTTAATGTACTGTATTCAGTGTTTTAAGTCTTTTTCAGGTGGACAGTTATTGCTTCTATAAGAATTAAAATGATAATATGATGATATAGTAAATAAGAACTGGGGGGCTAGCTGGATAGCCCAGTTGGTTAGAGCGCAGCCTTATGACATCAAGGTCAACGGTTCGGATCCGTGTACTGCCTGGCTGCCAAAAAAAGTACCCTAAAAAACTGGGAAATGGGCCGAGCCCATGGCGCACTCGGGAGAGTGCAAGCTGGGAGCGCAGCAGCGCTCCCGCTGCAGGTTCGGATCCTATATGGGGATGGCCGGTCACCGCTCACTGGCTGAGCACGGTGCAGCGGGTCTCAAAAAAAAAAAAAAAGGGCCGGCCCGGTGGCGCATGCACTAGTGCGCCGCTTGGGAAGCGTGGCAGCGCTCCCGCGGAGGGTTCGGATCCCACATACAGACCGGTTCCCGCTCACTGGCTGAGCGAGGCGCGGGGGCAACACCGAGGGTTGTGATCCCG